CCCAGGAAGCCTCCACATGGAGGCCAGAGGCCAAATCTTCAGAACAGAGGAAAAAAAGAGGAGGATGGATGATCTTCCTCAGCCCTCCCATGGGGGCAGCAGAGCTGTCGCCAGCTGAAGACGGGGGAATGAGCCGCGTTACTGCAGGCAGGCTTCCTCTAGTTGTGGCGCGTGGGGGAGACTCTGCTGCGGAGCACTGCTTCTCATTCTGGTGGGTTCTTTTGTTGCAGAGCAGGCTCGAGGTGTGTGGGCTTCAGCAATTACAGCTCGCAGGCTCAGTAGTTGTGCTCGTGGGCCCCTGAGCTTGCAGGCTCAGTAGTTGTGATGCAGGGGCTTAGTTGCTCCGAAGTACGTGGAATCTTCCCAGACCAGGAATCAAACCTGTGTCCCCTGCATTGGCAGGCGGACTCTTACCCACTGTGCCACCAGAGGAGCCCCTGGGCCTGCCTGCTTTTCATATGGCCCCACCGGGAGCTCGTTTTTCCTACCTGGTCCTTCAGCCTACAGTGTCAGCCGCAGACAAGCGTGGGCTTGAATGTGGCTCCGCTCGCTGGGGTCGTGAGGCATGTCACTTTGCCCTAAGCCTGCATCTCCATCAGTGTGACACCCTGAAGTGTGTCTGACCAAGTTTCTCAGCCTCACTCACTCTGCCTCTCTTCTGTCCCTTGAATCTGACAAGTTCATTTCCACCGCAGGACCTTGACCCTCATTGTTCTTGCCACTTGGGTTACCTCCCACAACACTCCAGGTCAGCTCCTCCAGGAAGCCCTCCCTGACTTCCCATCCCATAGCAGTACTAGCTTCCCACCTCCAGCCCTCCTGCTGCCTGGCCTGGTCACACTACAAAATTAGCTAGAAGGTTGTAGTCTCCTATTCACAGAATTTAAGAAAGGAGCCTCAGGATTCATCCCAATGAGCCTCTGCCTATCTGTAGGTCAGCCTCGGCTTCTTTGCTCACACCCCATCCGTGGCTCTGGAGACAGGCCCAAGGGTAGGAGGCTCAGTTTTCCAATTTGCTTCCAGTGTGACTCTGGGCAAGCCATTTTACTTCTCCTGAGTTGTTATACATTCTTCCAACTCTCCTGAGCCCGATCCTTTTAAAGTAATAATAATTATTGTTATATGTATCTTTATTACTACCATTATGCTCAAGGGTGTGCTAATAAGCTGGGGCGAGTGCTCTTGCTCACCTGGGAGGGGGCCTGGCCAGGGGGAGCTGGCTTCAGCCTGCAGACTCTGCTCAGCTGCTCCAGCCCCTGATTCTGGCGTGAGGAACGTCTTCCCATCCTCAGTGCCAGTTTTTCCTCTCTGAAGCCACCAAGCCCATGTCCCTTGGAAGGCCCCCTGAACTGGGGGCCCTGCTCTTAGAAGGGCCCAACACTTGGCTTAATGTTCTGCTACCACCATCTTAAAATTCTTGGTAATTATTGATCAAGGGGCCGCACATTTGCATTATGCACTGGACCTCGAAAACTATCTAGCCTGTGCTGCCTACACTTTTTTAGAGGAGGAGGAAAGCAAGGCTCAGCGAGGAGTCAGACCTGTCACTTAGCAGGCTGGGGGTGGAGCTTCACCTCAACTACATTGGCTGCATCTCTCTGGCCACAATTATTTGAATTTTTAAAAATTAATTTATTTTAACTTCTTTTATTTTTGGCTGCACTGGGTCTTCCTGGCTTTGTTTGGACTTTCTCTAGCCCCTGTGAGTGGGGTTACTCTTTGTTGCAGTGCCTGGGCTTCTTATTGCCATGGCTTCTCTTGTTGCAGAGCATGGGTTCTAAGCACATGGGCGCTCGAGTGCAGGCTCAGTAATTGTGACGCATACACTTAGTTGCTCTGTGACATGTGGAATCTTCCCAGGCCAGGGATCGAACCTGTGTCCCCTGCAATGGCAGGCGATTCCTATCCACTCTGCCGCCAGGGAAGTCTACAGTCATTTGAATTTTATCACTGCATCTAAAGAATAATCACCAATGAGTCTCATGGCTGCAGTCTTCACAGCCACCACCTCATGTGAACCATTAAAATCCTCTGTAGCTTTTAAAACCCGCCTCTCCCAGGCACCTCCAGTCCAGGGTGCCCCCTCCAGTGTTGGAGAGTTCCATCAGTGGTTTCCACTGCCTCAAATCCACACATTGCCCCCAGTAACTAAGTCCTTCATGCTCTGTTACCTGCGCTGGGTTCCTCCTGCCTTGGGGGCTTCAGGCAGCTGGGGGAGGCCCCCACTGTTATTGTTGTTTGGTCACTAAGTCATGTCTGACTCTTTCCCACCCCGTGAACCACGGCACTCCAGGCTTCCCTATCCTTCACTATCTCCCGGAGTTTGCTCAAACTCATGTGCATTGAGTTGGTGATATCATCCAACCATCTCATCCTCTGTCACCCTCTTCTCTTGCCCTCAATCTTTCCCAGCATCAGGGTCTTTTTCAGTGAGTCGGCTCTTCTCATCCGGTCGCCAAAGTACTGAAGCTTCATCTTCAGCCTCAGTTCTTCTAATGAATATTCATTGTTGATTTCCTTTGGGATTGACTGGTTGGATCTCCTTGCAGTCCAAGGGACTCTCAGGAGTCTTCTCCAGCACCACAGTTCGGAAGCACCCATTCTTCAGCTCTCAGCCTTCTTTATGATCCAGCTCTCACATCCGTAGGTGGATACAGGCACCCGCCCACGCCTTGAGGCAGTGGGGCCAACATGCAGTGCCACGTGCGTCCTCTACCACCAGGGGGCTCCCGTGCCTCAGGCTGGTGTTCAAAACTCCCACTGCGTCCCTGGCAGCGTCCATTCAGCCGCGTTTGGGACGATGAGGAGCTCTGGGCACGGGGGTGGGGTGGTGTCAGGGCCTGGCTCCGAACACTGGTGGCACATTTCTGGCTCGGCTGAGTGTCTGTCTCTCCGTCTCTGTGTCTCCCCACCCTGACCCTCAGCACTGCGGAGGCAGCGGCCCTGGAGCGGGAGCTGCTGGAGGACTATCGCTTTGGGCGGCAGCAGCTGGTGGAGTGGTGTGGCCATGCCAGTGCCGTGGCGGTGACCAAGGTACCTGGGCCTGCTTCTCGCCTCGACCCTGAGCAGACGGCTGGCTCACCAGAGTGGAGGCCTAGCTGCACGCCCCCCCCCCGCCCCCGGCCAGGATGGTCATTTCTGCCCTCAAGAGAGGCCTCTTGGCTTGGGGCCACCCCGGCCCATCACTCAGATGAGGAAACCGAGGTCCGTCACTGGCCCCAGCCAGGGGGTTGCTGAGCGTCAGGGCAGAGACAGGGGTCCCCAGAGATGTGGAAGCAACTACAGAGATGGGTCTGGGGCCCTTGACTGCCTGTCTCTGCCACCTCCTGAGTTGTGAGCAGAGGGGACGTCAGCTTCCTAAGTCTGAGCACCCGCAAACAGCTACCTGCCACGGGTCCAGGAACTGAGGCCCGGAAGGGTAGGAGTCGACCTATATTTGGCTTTGGGACAAATTCCCAGGCTTCAAAGTACCTGCAGGAGGCCGGCTGCTATCCAGTGGTCCGCGTCATGTTGCCAGACCACCACGCTGGGCCTGAAAGAGGGTAATAAACGGACACCAATGAATAAATAAAAACTCCTTAGGAAAGTGCCCAGTTGAGTCAGGGCTCCAGCAGGTAACCTCTTCCTCTTCCTCTTTTTCCTCTTCTGATCACCACTGTATACTTTTGAAAAAACTTCATATCTTTCTTTCCATAGACTCCACTGTTTTTTAACTTAAACGTTCCTATTTCCAAGTGAAACATATCCTGAGTGAGATGCTCAGAGGTAAGAAGAGCAATGAAAATCAAAGCCACAAAAGCAAACCCAGTAAAGTAACCTCATGCTTGGCTGTTGAAGACCAACCATCCAGTTTTCACACTGAATGAACGCTTTGTGTCTGTCCAGAGGCAAGCCAGCCAGACCTAATGACTCTCCCTGACTAGGTCAGGTCTGGGGCTCTGGGGATGGCGTGGTGGGGTTATAGATATGATCAGGGTGAGTCAGGACCCTGCTGAGACCCTGGGGAGGAGACTCCAAAAGGAAAGAACTCCCTTGGTGTGGTTGGAAGTTAGAGTATAGTTTGGCCCCCTGGTGACCCCAGAAGCCCGTCAGAGTCACTGTTACTCCTACTTGATAGAGGTGCCGAGAGGAGAGTGAGCTGAGGCCACACAGAGAGTCAGGGCTGAGACTCGGCTCCTGCGTCAAACAGAGATGCAGAGTCTGAGAGAGATGGACGGAGAGAAAGAGAGACGGAGGCGAAGACAGAGCTGGAGAGAAACAAGTATAATATTATCGTCGCTACTTTAAAAGGGTCGGGCCCAGAAGAGCTGGAAGAACAGCACATAACAACTCAGGAGAAGTAACGTGGCTTGCCCAGAGTAATGTAGGAAGCAGGGTGGAAAACGGCCTTCTCCTCTGGGGTCTGCCTCCAGAGCCACGGATGAGGAGTGAGCAAAGAAGCCGAGGCCGACTTATGGACAGTCAGACAGAGAGGCAGGCAGTGAGGACAGAGGCCAAGGGAGAGGGACAGGGGAGAGAGGCCGGGCTCGGCGGGCTGGAAAAATCCCCCCCACCTCCCGCCCCCACCTCCGGGCCTCCTGGAGGGATGCAGGCCCGGAGACGCGGGCGGGGGAGGGGCAGCCACCGCCACGGAAAAGGTGGAAGAATGTCTGCAGCTCAGGCCGAGAATAAACAAACCGCACTCTGGCTTGGGTGGTGGCAGGAGGCACGTTTCTCTGCTCAAGCTTGAGAGAGGCTGAGGCGAGGACCCCGGGTCTCCAACAAGGACCCCGAGGCCCCTAGGGGCCCCGTGCCGCCCTCAGAACAGCCCTCCCCCCGGTCTTGTCCTCGCGCCTTCTGGCCCGAGCCCCATTCCTCCCTCCACCCCGGGCCTTAGTTTCCCCGCTGGACTCGGGAAGCGTTCCGAACCCCGTGCCTTTGCCTTTGCTGTGCCAGGCGTTCCCTCTGCCCGCTCTCGCCCGGAAGCAGAGGACGGCGCTGGTCGTGTGCGGCCCAGAGCAGAACGGAGCGGTGGGGCTGGTGTGCGCGCGGCACCTGCGGGTGTTCGTGAGTAGCGAGGATGCCCTCGGCCTTCCAGGGCCACCCCCCCCCCCCCCCCCC